TCGAAGCCATGCCTGACAACACCTAACCACAGTGTCTACACTTATTTGCACTCTAACTGCAATTGCCCGAAAAGAAAGTCCAGCTTCCCGAAGTCCCACTATACGGTCCTATCAAACTCACTAAGTTGACGAAATCGTACAGGTCTCCGTACTCGTAAAGGATGTCATGAACCATAATCCGCCAACGTTGATTCTTTACTGCGGCTGAAATATTCATTTTTAGAGCGTTAGTGAATTAAAAAAAAGCAGTATAAAAACCGGAATGCCTAACTGATAAGGCTGAAAATTTTTTCACTTGTTTTTTACAGTAAGATAAATACATTCACCAACTTTTATTAAAATAAAATCATTTAAACTGGGTGTTTGGATTTATATGTCACTTAGTATAACTGCTCTTTCTATTAGTGCACTGTTGCCGGTCTTAACTAGTATAGTTAATGCGCATCTCAAAATATACAGCGTGCCCCTCTTATATGTTTAAATGTCTGTTTATTGAAAGACGTTTTGATGGTGGCCTCTTTCAAGTACAATGACAGTTCCTTCATTGTACATGTTCGTACCTAATTTTTGTCTCAGATGGTTCAACTTGTGCTGAAATCAATCCTTTAACGGCGTTGAGTATGAAGTGCAGAGTCAACCCACATGCCAACTCAAACAAATTCGCAAATTGCCCGTTCGCGTTCGGTGTGACTCGGCGGCGCTCCGTATGTGGTACCCCGACGTGACCTGGGTGTGTCGCCCCCACGTCGCGTCCGTCTATCGCTCACGGGGACGACGTCCACCGTCCGTCGGTCCCTCGGTCGGTCGGCGCCGATGACCTTGCGCAACCTTGTGCGGCAGTCATCGAACCTCCTGCCCAGCTGCTGACTCCAAGGAGCACAAACGCATATTAAACAGTCGCGAACTTACGGCGACGGTGTCCACCGAGATGAGACAGGTTGCACTCAACGGTCCTACTTTCAGCAGGCACCGTTATGGCTTCCAGTTTTATCAGGTGATTATGAGGTACCGAGTTAACACACATCGAGCACGTCTTCGAAGAATACTGTTCTTGTTGAGTTATGGTAGCACGGAACTGGAGTTATCAAAAGATATTCTTGTATCTAAATGGATTTTCAGAAAAGAAACTCTTTCGTTTAATCTCAACTACCTTGAAAATCGGTTTCAAAAAGTTCGTCTAAATCATTGATTCCCAAAGTGGTCTATATCGACCACTAGGGGTCTATGACAACCTGCAAAGGGTCTACGTCAGCAAAAAAAAATTTGAGGGTCCATGAAATGAATATGAGGGTCCACGATAGTGGATCTCAACACATACACTGATAGTACCTATTTACTTACATCATACTATCTTATAATATCAAAACATATACATTATTTATAAAAGTACCTATGAAGTAAAAAATTTATTATATATGTTTATAAAATCGTGTGAGTTGTAGGATGTTGGTATTCGCTTTGTCGTCGCAATACATTTTGAACTTGTAAAAACCTGAGAGTCGCAGTCTCAGAGCTTCGCTACCTTGCACTGACTTGTTCAATTCGTCACTCTATAAATACGAATGTGGGACAAATACGTTTATTCGTTTCCTGAATCTTGAAAAGGAAAGTGCTAAGAAAATATTTTAAAAAATATGAACAGATAGTATATCACACAAATTATAGTGAGTCAGTGTTATTTTATTTGAGAGTGCTAGAGAAAAGTAAGTACATTATTTTTTACTAAATTTTAGTTTACTACTCGTAGTTAGCAAAGATAGATAAATGACACCAATCATGAATTTAGTTATTAGTAGTTAAATATTCAATCATGCAAAATTACACGAGTACTACTCAATAGTTTCTTTTTGAAAGTTTGAGCAATCGGTAATATAATTACAGTGCAATCTCCGTAATTCGAGCTAATTGTTGCATGATGTTCGGATTATGGAATGTTTTCGGAAAAATCTAAAAATATTTTTAATATACAGCTGCTGAATTTTCTGTCTTATTTAAATAATTTAATTTTGCCCACAGATGACTGATGCCATGTCCGAATCTAAAAAGAAATGTAGACAGTGTGAATTATTTGAAATTTGGCTTCATTCCATCGTTGCCGGACAAACAATCGCCTATGTGCCTTTTATGCAACAAATTTTTGGGCAATGACGCTATGAAACCATCTAAACTGCAAGATCATCTGAGAAGATGCCACCCTGATAAAACAGAGAAAGATTTGAGATACTTTCAAACACTCAAAGATAAATTTCAGAAGAGACCTACACTGGACAGAATGTTCGCTTCGACGTCTCAAAGAAATGATAATGGTTTGCGGGCGTCTTACAATATCTCGTTACTTATAGCAAAATCCGGAAAACCGCATACTATCGGAGAGAAGTTAATTTTGTCAGCCGTTGAAGAGGTTTTAAAAACTGTTTTACACAAACCTGCATCTGATATCATTAAAAGAATTCCCTTAAGCAACAATACTGTTGAAAGACGTATTGATGAAATGAGTTCTGATATTGAAAGCTTCTTATGTAATTATTTGCAAACGACCCATTTCTCTATACAACTGGACGAGTCAACTTTACCTGATAATGCCGCATTATTATTGGCATATGTTCGTTTTATTATGAATCAAGAAATCTACGAAGTACTGCTCTTCGCAAGAACTTTGATAACCGACACTAAAGGTGAATCAATATTTCATTGAAAAAGCAATTCCTTTATCAAATATAATATCAGTAGCTACAGATGGAGCACCTGCCATGGTTGGACGTTATCGTGGATTTATAAGCTATTTAAAACAACATGTGTCAGGGGTGTTAGCAATACATTGCGTCATCCATCGACAACATTTAGTTGCTAAAAATTTGAGTGTTAGATTGCATGAATCACTTCATTTAGTCATTGATGCAGTAAACCGAATCCGAAGCAACGCGTTGATTACGTGGTTATTTGCGCAGTTGTGTGAAGAAAATGACGAACACTTTCATCAATTACTCCTTCACACTGAAGTACGCTGGCTGTCGAAAGGCTTATGTTTGACAAGATTTTTTGCACTTTTTGAGACTATTTTTGAATTTCTGTATACTAAAGATAAAATTTTAAAAGAAAATTTAATGAAGAGGAAACAGACATCGCCTATTTAACAGATTTGTCCATCTTATCAGCGTTTCTTGCCAGAGTTAAACTAATGAAGCAAAATATTGGACGGGGCGAATTTTCTCAGTTCCCCAATTTGTCACAGACAAGCTGCCAGGAAGACGACGTTTCAACTTACGTTCAACATTTATATGCCCTCTATTCAGATTTTGAATCTAGGTTTGAGGATATTTTGACTATGGTAATACCATCGTGGATAATTAATCCATATGACATAGACATGACATAGAAGAAACGAATGTCATAATACAAGAGGAACTGACTGAACTAAGTACAAACGAAGAACTTAAGGTTCAGTTTAAAAACGGATATCAGCAATTCTGGCTGCAAAACAACATACCCGTTACTTATCCCGTATTATGGAATATAGCGAGGAAATTTTTAATTTCCTTTCCATCGTCATACCTAGTGGAAAGGGGGTTCAGCGCTGTTACCAATCTCCTAACGAAAAAAAGAAACGGACTGGACATCATTAGCCGATGAGATTTAAGATTAACCCTTACAAAATTGACGCCAAATGTTGATAATTTATTATTAAAGCATCACGTTCATCCTTATCACTAAAAATATTGACTTATTGCTTATGTTATTTTATTTATTGTTTATTTTATGCCTATTGGTGTCTGACCAATAAATGCCCGCATTGGGAATAAGTGCCCGCATTGATTTTTTTAAAGAACCCCCCTTTATAGAAAATATTTTTTTTAAATTATTCTGCAAATGCAAGGATAGGTACACACTAAAATTCGTTAATTTTTTGCCTATTTTTAGATAACTTAAACGTATAAGAAGCGGAATTTAATCAAACTAACAGTGAAATTATTGTAGAACATACGTTTATGTTATAATTAATAAACGAACTCGCTTATTGTACTATTTTAAGTAAATAACTTTTTTTTTATTATTTTTCACTTTTTTTTTATTTTATCCTTCTTATTTTTTTTTTTTCAATGCGGGCACTTATTCCCAATGCGGGCACTTATTGGTCAGACACCTGTTTATTTAATGTTACGTATATTTTACATAACAGATACAGAATTTTATTTTGAGTAGTTTTAATTTAAATTCAATTGATAAATGTATAAATTAACATGTCTTTTTACTTTAAGTTTTTAACCCTAAACTTCACTACAGTTAGAAATTTACAGGCAATCAATATCAGGTAAGAAGGGGATCTACCCAGTACGGAAAAACATGGCAAGGGGTCTACGACACAAAAAAGTTTGGGGAACTCTGGTCTAAATCAACAGTAGGGGAGACTAGGGAGACTTGAGTCAAAAAATGAATTTTATTTCTTACACATTATATAATTTGCAATTCAAAGATTACATAAATGGGCAAGTGAATTGTATGCGATTTAGCTAAACGTGCCATAACTTTTCATGCTTCCAAAGTATTATTCAAATTGTTTAAACGTATTTCAACCAAATGGTGTAAATTGTCTTAAGGCTCCCTAGGTAAGGAGACAAGCTATAGGAAGCACTGAGACAGTGTAAGTTTTTGAGAAACGTTTGTTAATTGTTGAGGAAATAAAAAATTGAGAAAATTTACAACACAAGAAGTTTATTAATTATCAATCGACAGCGAAAACTGTCTATTAATTATTGAAAAAAAAAATAATGAAAATAATAAACAAAATTAACGAACACTTTGATCATAACGGAAGTCCAGACCAAATGTCAGAGTAGATTTAACTCTTTCTGTTCCACCCACATTTTTTGGAAACGGTAATTTCAAAACTATATCTTGTTCTCGAACTGAAGAAGTATCTTCCACTGATGGATAAACAAATTTCCAGGTGGTTCCGTGACAACGTGAAAATTTTACCTCGTATTCATCATCTTCCTTTGATATTACCAGACCCACATAATGCACAGTTGAAGTCTTCGTGTAAAACTTGACCAAAACGAAGTCTCCCACTTGGAGAGCCTTGACATCCTCAAGAGCTTTAATCCGAAGCATCCAACATCTGAAATATCTTCGCTGCATCTGCCCAACTCGCTTTCTTCCTCTTCATCACTTGAAGAAGACTGTGGTGGTGTTGCAGGTTTCTGTAAATATTTTTGTTTGTTTGTTGCTGACGAAAGATCGTCATGCTTCAACGGAACAACTTTTTTTATCTTCCGAACAGTTGCTTCAGCCTCTATTGCTTCTTTTTCTGGTGTGTCGGTAAGAATTCTTGAGGAACCACATTTTCGCTTTGTAATCCGTTTTCGTGGGCCTGCCTTCGGAAGCTGTCGCAAAATTTTTGGAATAACAAAATTTTGTTTAGTGTTTAAATCGAGATTTTGCACGTGGGCTTTTGACATTGAGGCGTCCTGTCGAATATTTGTATGGTTCGAAATTTCTTCTTGCACGCTGGTTTTCGATATAGATGCTGCATCTTGTACTTGATGTTTCCAGTGGTCGATCGCTTACTGCGCTAGACATAAGCTCAATTTCAGTAAACACATCACGATTTAACGGATAAATACCGGTCGCTGAAAAACTGGATAAAATATTCTTTGGTGTGAAAGCTAATTCGAACGCTTGACTAGCTAAAGCAGCGATATTGTAAATGGACAAGGTTTGGCCTGGATTGAAAACCATCCATGATGCACACTGCGAATGATAGTAATCTTTAAAGGGGAAGTAAATCGATACGTCCAAGGACTGCATTTTATGGCCGCAGTGTGGTGGAAACATGAGCATCACAATTCCATTTTCTTTTGCTTTCCTCAGGGAATCAACGGAAATATGACTCTCATGGTTATCCATTAGTAGCGATACTTTGTTTTCCGTGGAATAACCACTATGCTTCATGAAGTGGTCCAGGAAAACAACAAAGTTTTCGGAGGCCTTCTTCCACTGGAATTAACAACTGCAACAATTCCTGGAAAAGCGCCACGCAACATATCTCCTTAAAATGTACTCCTGGAAAGACGAAAAACGGCGGACCGAGCACTAATACCACAACAGGAAGTTACTAATGTGCCACGTTCAGCAGACGTGACGTTCCCAACTTGTTTAACAGCCTTCGCTGCCAGGACGGTGGCTGGTTTGTGTACAGTTGTAAGCCCTGTCTCATCAATGTTCCAGATCTGATGAGATTCAAACTTTTCACGCTTTAGGACCGATTCCAAACGTGGTAACATTTGTGTGGTTAAAACTCGTAAATCGTGACAATCTGGTTGACTCTGGAGTCCTCAGCGATAACTCGGGGTGGCGATGTCTAAAATCTCGATACGAGGGATGTCGTTTAAGTTTTGCATATGGAAATAAAACTCGTTTGCTGGCAGATCCAAAACGGCATTTTTGAATGCGTCAACTGCTTCTTCTGGTGACTGGAACCTTTGACCACGCAGTCTGTTTTTGATTTTCGGGAAAGTAAAGGAATCGTTAGAACTGAGATCGGGAGGATGGTCCAATAATTCCACGTTTTCTTTCGTTGAATACTGCCTTGTTTTTTGGGCTGTGTGCGAGCTTGCATTGTCTTGGTGGAGGATGATTTTTCTTTCGGGGTTGATTTTTCGAAGCTCGGTGATGACTTTTGGCAAACAAATTGTGGTATACCAATCCGCAGTAACAGTTCTTTGCTCATTAGGAGGAATTGTTGCAATATGACCCGCTTTTGACACAAATGAAGCGACCATTGGAGTTCCGTTTTTCTAATGACTTGGTGATACTTAAAAATTCACTGTAGTTGTGAAACTTTGAATTTAAGTTTACTAAAGAGTGAGGTTAAGATTTAGTAATGGTTAAACGAAGACATGAATACAATCTTTGACTATGAACGAGGGGATGTTATCTGGGCCAGTCGTTACTTGGTTTTGAGTTTTTTAGATGCAGCTATAATCTCATTTTCATAAATGGCATTAAAACATTTGTTAACTTGACTAATAATAGGATTCCTGCTTTCAGTAAAGTCATTACGATTAGATGGATCAATGAAATCACTATTAAAAATCTGCAAATGTATTGACGGTACTGTAAGTGAGACGTCATTCAACCTCATTTTACCAGGAATCCTAGTAGTCCGATTTTTTGTATGCGTCTGGATCTTGTATGATTGAAATCTCAACATTATGTATAGTTATAATTCTTATAGGCCAGAGATATTTGACGCGTTACCTCAGATTGAGATATTATTTTGTACTGTTGAAATAGATAGTTATTGGCTAGCTCTTTTTGTACTTTTTTGCTGTACGCCGTTCCTAATAATCTCACTGGTGTACCACGAACCTCGCCTCGAATCCATCATAGTTGTGATAACATACCGCATAACTATAATCGTCCAGGACTATTAGACATTCTCTGCCCACCTGGCTGAATTTTTTACCAGAGCTTCTTTATAAATCATCCCTCAAAAGTCCCCATGAATCCAAGTGGAGCCTTTTTTTATGGAGTGGGTCAAAGGTTACAAAAAAACACTTTTTCCCATATATCTTCGAAAATATCAATTCTACGATAAAATGAGCAATTACCTTTTTTGTTCAGTATAAGATTCTCAACAAAAAAGACTGTGTGCATTTTTTTCGTAGAGACTGCCAATTTACAGAAAATTGCGTGAAAGTGTTGTAATTGAGAAAAATAAAAAAATTCACGTCAAACCGTATTTTGAAATCTGAATAAAAAAGGTAATATTTGATTTTATCGTGGAGTTGATATTTTCGAAGATATATGGAAAATAGTATTTTTTGTGACCTTTGACCCCACATAAAAAGAAAAACTCCACTTGGAGTCATGGAGACTTTTGAGGAGTGATTTATAATGTTGAAAAGAAGCTCTGGTAAAGAATTCACCCACGTGGGATTTTTTCAGCAGATTGGCCTTCTTTTCGTCTAATAGATTAATAATACTACTGAGCAACTAGCAATTGACCAGCTACTAACTGAATAATAGCTGATTGAATATCTTGCAAAAATCTCCTTTGTTGCGAATAAAGCGACAGCTGAGTTGTGTGCGCATTGTATGTCCTAGAGCCTTCTAGATTGCAATAGCCTAAAGTGTATTTCATAAACTAACTAGGTTTATTATACGCTAATTGCAAAATATTATCCATAGGCTGTACGGCGACAGACAGACGACTCCAATCTAACAGGGCAAGAGTAAAGGTCTGTTTACACGCATCGCATTCTCGGAGCAAATGAGCCCCATCAGCAGGGTATTGAATTCTATGAGGGATGATGAATATGTTCCGCGTTTAATAATCCAGTCAAAATAAAATTTAGGTTTGCAAAAATTCCACAAAGCTGAAAAATAATATTGATCACAGATAATATATCAAAGCTCTTCATGTTAGCTTGGAGCGGAACTTTGTTTTATTTAGGTAGAAATATCAAAAATATCACGTTTTATCTAAAAAGAAAACATGTACCACAAAAATCTCTCATACAAAAATTGCAGAGGTGGAGTCACATAGTAGGTATTATTATAAATTTTAGGAATTTTGGAACAAGTTTTTTTTACTCAAAAAAAAGAACTATAAGAAGCATAGCTCAAGCTGAAATTAGACATACCTGTTAGCCCGTTTTTATAACGCTTAAGGTTTTAACTGTATCGTGTCTTTTAATGGTTGGAGTAATATGCTTAGTTAAAATAAAAAATGCCAGCCAACAACCAGCAACTGAGACTAGACGGTGCAATTTTAGGCATCAATCACTGCAACATTTGTTTACCTATTCCCAAGTCGCATTAGCTAAGCACTCTATAATTTGTGATGGAATTAATATATTCAACCATCTACCGGCAGCTACCAAAATAATTGATGATTTTGAGGTATTCCACACTAAGTTTGTCACGTGCCAAAATCACGTAACCTTATTTTTTCTATTTATCACTTATCAGTAATTTGAATTTCTCCTCATTAATAACAGAGTGCCCTTTCCTAGGCCAAACCACTTTTCAGTGATTTTCTTTTTGCAAATTTAATAGTTTATCGATTGTGTAATTTCACTCGTATAATACCTTTCTTTCTCAGCGATTCAGTATGGTGTTGACGGTAAGCAAAAACTCTGCAGTTTTTCTCCGTTAGTTGGCTTCCTATAAAATGTATCTTCTTCAAGGCCACTCAAGATTCCTTCCTCTAGAATGTGACGTATTCTGTGATTGGCTTTTCAGCTTCCGTTGAGGTCGTGGTGCAGGGGTCTTTTTGTCGTTCTCCGGACTCTTCTCGGTATCTCCCTCTTTCAGTCCTTTCAATGGCATTGACAATCTATTTTTGGAATTGAGGTGCCCAAATTTCAGCTTCACGATAGGCTGCATATATCGGCCACGGCCCTGTTTGGGAGACACACACCTGTGCAGTCTCATTTCAGATCTCTTAAATAAAAACACCAACCTTTTCATAGCTGGGGACATCAATCTACGTGACATTAGCTGGCCTATGTCAATCATTCCTGAATGCAATTCTTCTTCTGCTTACATCGACTTGCTACGCAACTCTAGCATATCTCAGCTTGTTGATCATCCAACGAGATTCAGGAAAGGACAAACGCCTAGGGCTCTGGATTTGATATTCGTTAACGACGCCGACTTTGTTTCTAATTTAGATTATGTGCCACCTTTTGGCAAGTCTGACCACTGTTCACTTTTATCTTCTCTCCAGTTCAATATAAATAGTCGTTCTACAACCGATAAGTTTAAAACCATCAAAATTGTAAACCACGATGCTCTTAACCAAGCCCTGTCTGAAGTCAACTGGCCTGCTTTGCTTAACTACCGTAGCACCCAAGATATGTGGGACACTTTCGCTCAACGAGTCCTAAGCGAAACGGCTGACAACACTGTTGAAAAGAAGGTATACTGTGACCCCTCAAAGCCCTGGATCAACTCTAACATATCGAGGATGCTTCGTCACAAGAGATCTTTGTGGCAACGGTTTAGGAGGAGTGGCCATTCACAAGATTACGTGTCTCATCGATCTTTTTCTAACCTCCTATCTAGAACGTTACATAATGCCAAACATGCTTATGAACGAAAACTCGTTACCTCCAAAAATAAGAAGAAGCTGTTTCGGTATCTAAGAACAAACCTGAATTACAAAGTTTCATCACCTCAGATCCGCGACGCTGACGGTCATCTCTACATGGATGCCACCGAATCTGCCAACTTACTGGCAGAGTCCTTTAGTGGTGACTTCGTCGATGAGCCTAATGGAGACCTTCTACCGACCACTAGCTGCCATACGTGTCCCAACAGCCTTTGCGAAGTTGAATTCCTGCCTGAAGATGTATTAATGCACCTGCGAAATCTGAAGAACTCTTCCTCCCCTGGTAAAGATGGGATGATGGCTGCTGTACTTAAAAACTGCGCTTCAGCACTGGCCCTACCATTAAGCTTGATATTCACATCGTCTTTTAGATCTCATACCCTACCCTCATGCTGGCTTAGTGCTTCTGTTACCCCTGTATTCAAAAAGGGCGACAAATCCTCCGCTAAAAATTATCGACCAATAAGTCTCGTTCCTATCGCCGCCAAAATAGCTGAAAGAATCATATTAGATAAGCTCCTGTCATTTGTTTTCGAAAATGACCTTATCCCTAAGAATCAGCATGGATTTCTCCCTGGTCGATCAATAATGACCAACCTTCTCCACTCTCTCAACGATTGGACTCAGTATCTGGACACAAAGACTCCTGTTGGTATAATCTACTTAGATTTTTCTAGGGCTTTCGATCGCGTACCACATAGAAGGCTTCTGTTTAAGTTTGAATGTATGGGAATAAGAGGCGAGTTGTTACTGTGGATTAAGGCTTTTCTCACCGGGAGCACTTTCTCTGTGCGCGTCAGTGATAGCCAGTCTCACCTTCATCATGTAGCAAGTGGAGTTCCTCAAGGCTCTGTCTTGGGGCCAGTGCTGTTCCTTCTGTTTTCAAGTGACCTGCCCGCATTGATTTCCTCCACATGTTCAGCTTATGCCGA